CTACTCTATGTGATGGCATCAAGACCGGATGTCATATTTAGTGTGTGCATGTGTGCAAGATTTCAATCCTCACCAAGAGAAAGTCATTTGAAAGCTACAAAGAGAATATTGAAATATGCTCAGCATTGTTATTACAGTAAGTGATAGATAAGCCTAGTGCTAAACCACTTGTATCTTACTTTTCCTGCACTTTAACTTTCCTTGGCTTCTAAGCCTAGTGTTAGAAATATGCTCAACATCTACTTTTGGAATATGCTGTAGCAAGTGGGATAAAGACCGCCGAGTGGAGCACGCGGTAGGCTTTAGCCCCCTCTGCGTAGCCGATAAAGACCGCCGGCGAGCTGCGATCATCGAGCTTGCCGATGTGGTTCAGCTCCTTAACGAAGGCGAGGCAGCTGAAGATGCGCAGATAGCTGATCGCTGACTTGCGCCCATGCCAGGCCTCATACGGCATCTTGCTGTCGAGCGCACTGGTCAGTCATCACGGCCTCTCCCCAGTAGACCACCGGCATGCCGCCCTGTTTGAGGAGCGCACGCGCCGCTGCCACCACCGTCTGTTTGCGGCGCTTGACCACGTCGTTCTGCTGCGGTGAGTAGGGCACATAGTAGTGGCACTGAATCCCCTCGTCGGCGCAGTATGCCGCGATCTCAGCTGACGTGAATTCGCTGCCGTTGTCCGTGCAAAGCACCCAGAGCTTGCGACCGCACTCCTCCGTGGCTGCCTGGTGGCGCTTGATGGCGTCCACAGCTGCCGCCTTGGAATCGAGCAGCACGACCCACATATAGCGGGTGGCGTCGTCGACGAGCAGTAGGAAGTAGCGCCGACCTCTAGGAGTGGCCAGTGACACTGGACCGTAGAGGTCGTCGTGCACCAGCTCGAGCTGCTCGATGGCGCGATAGGACGCTTGACGCGGGAAGGGCCGGCGCTTCAGCTTGGTCACCACATAGGTGTCGTAGAGCTGATCGACGTGGTCGACGCAGGGCATGCCGCGGACCATCTCCTTCTTGCCGAGCTGCTTCAGGGCTTCGAAATGAAGGTGCCCGAAGCGCTCATGCCAGCGCCACGCCTCATCATCCCGGAGCGCGGCAAGACAGAGGGGGTGCGCCACCTGTACATGGAGCACATAAAGACGGTTGCTTCCTCGGTTCACCTTAGCGAGAAGACGGCGGCCTCTATCCCAGATGCACAGCACGCCGTCCTCAATCTCCACCCGCGAGTTGTTCTTGTCCAGCTGCCCGACGTTGATGATGGAGTTCTTCAAGGCCGGGATGTAGTACACCCCGGTGAGAAGACGATGCTCCCCCGTCTTGGCCTTGAAGATGACCGAGCCGATGCCCTTGATCTCAATGGCGGAGGCGTCACCAAACTTGACGGAGCCCTTCACGCCGGAGTCTAGGTCGGAGAAGAATTCGCGCCGACCGGTCATGTGGTGCGTCGCACCGATGTCGAGGTACCAACCGTCGATCTTGTCATCGGTGGCACCTTTGCTGAGGAAGGCGTGAGCGCGCGGTTCGTCGAGGCGGAGCTCGACGGAGCCAGCCAACCTAGAAAGGGGAAAGCTTGGACCTTTCACCCCCTCCCCTGTGTCTTGCTGTAGCACGACGCACCCAAGCGCCTGGAACAGGGTGGCATCCTGCTCCTCTGCTTGCGCGACGAGAGCCTGCCCACCGTGGCGAGAAGGAAGGCGGCAGTCCTTGGCCCAGTGGCCAGTCCTGCCACAATTGTTGCAAGTGTCATCCTGGGTCGCCTTGCGCTCGCCGGCGGCGCCGCCATCAGCGCCGACCTGGCCCCGAGGTCCCTCCTCCTTGCCGCTGCGTGGACGCTGACGACGCTCCTTAGCCGGACGAACCGGATCCTACCTCCTTCTTGTCAAAGGCGCGCCACTGCTCCATCGTGTACAACAGCTTGCCTCCAGCGGCGCTCGACTCGGTGTGAGGCCCCTCGCGGTCCTGCACCGCCTTGAGCCTCCCGGTCACGTCCTCGACGGTGAGCTGCTCGAAGTCGAGGAGCGTCTCGATCGACATGACGATTTGCGCGTACTTCCTCGGCATGCAGCGGAGGAATTTCTCCACCGCGCGCTCCTCCGTGAGGTCGGTGTCGTCGTTGCGCACCATCTGCTCCATCAGATTGGTAAGATGAAGGGCAAAGTCCTCGACTTGCTCATCAGGCTGAAAAGCGAGGCCTTCCCACTCCCCTCGGAGGTGCTGCAACGTCGCCCGGCACACACGATCTGCACCGATGCGTGCCGCGGCAATCAATTCCCACGCCAGCTTTGCTGTAGCCTTGTTGACGAGGGAGGCGCCGAGCTCGGTGGGGATGGCGGCACACAACGCCTCCAGCGCCCGGCGATCGCCGTCGTCGTCAACGCTGCCGACGTGAACCGCCTCACGCAGCCGCCGAGCATGCAGCTTGACCTTCATCAGCAGGCTCCACTCATGGTAGTTCGACTTGGTGAGCATCGGCCAGGGCGTTCCCGCTCCGGAGTCGCGGTAGACCGTCTGCAGCACCGGGGAGCGGCCGCGCCGACCACGCCGCCGCTCTGGTGACGGTGACTGGCGACGGCGCCCGACCGGGCTATGTGATCCTCCAGCTGGCTCCGACTCCCGCTCCATCTCGACGCGCAGTGCTGCGGCCGTGGCTACTGCGGCTTGGGCCGCAGCCGCCGCCTGCCTAGCCGTCTCGGCCGCCGCCGCAGCCGCTGCCTCTGCGGCAGCAAGGCGCGTCGCGCGATCGTCGGCTCTGGCACCTGCGGCGGTACGCGCTCTCGCGATCTGGCTGGCGGTGGACATGGCACTCGCTCACTCAAGAACCCTCTCGGCTTTGATACCAGATTGTTGGCCCGATTGGATCTCAGATTCAGATCTGAAACTACCAGAGGGCAGCTTGGCCCTTGGCCCTTGGCCGCTTGGATTGAATGAAAAATGCAATGGCCTATTTTTACAATGGCACTCCCTTGCTCTTTATAGGCAAAGGGGACTCCCACTTGCTACAGTATATTCCAACCATTAAAGTGGATGCTGAGCATATTTCTAACACTAAGCTTGGAAGCCAAGGAAAGTAAAAGTGCAGGAAAAATAAGATACAAGTGCTTTAGCACTAGGCTTATCTATCACTTACTGTAATAACAATGCAGCGATTTCTTTCACAAAACTTGTCATTTGCCAGACGCTGGAACACTACAAAGGGACTACTGAGGCATATTGTACAAAGAGCAGAAAGTATTGAATGCAAACAGAAAATTTTAAAGACCTGTCTCCTTCTCAACCACAAGTTTGTAGTGAGCAACACTAACAACATCTGCAAGAGGAAAAGAATGAATAAGACAACTTCAGCTCACTGCAATGCAATTCAGGGTATCAAGGTAGGAAATCAAAGTTTGCATAACATGAAAGGAAGCCTGTGCATATTTACGGGGAGTACTAAGGAGACTCAAGGTCATACGTATTCAAGACCAAACATGATATAAATTGTTAATTGTCTTGAGAGCCAAGCTCTGCTGTAGAGGTGTAGGCATGTCTAAATCCGACTTGCTAGACAACCATATGATAACTCAATTACAAAATTTAATTGGAAATAAATTGCAGAAAGATAAAAGGTACTCATGCCGTTTCAAACTATTGTTCACTTTAGCTTTGTCCTAAGTCAAACTTCTCTAACTTTGATTTGATCAAGTTTTTAGAAAAATGTATTATCATCTACATGTTCAATAAATGCATTATCAAAATATATTTCATGGAGAATTTCATGGAACTAGTTTGATATTCTAGATGTTGGTGCATTTTTCTATAAACTTGATCAAAGTTAGAGAGGTTTGACTTGGGACAAAGCTAAAGGGAAGTAGTAAACTATAACTTGGAACAGAGAGTAGTTAGTTAATCCAGAATGTATGAATCTGAATTTCTTCGGAAAAAAAAAAAAAAAACTAAATTGAAGATCTATGGTACCATTTAAGGGCAAATTGATCAGAGTGACTTTGCCCAGTGTGCTTTAAAAAATCTAGGAAAGAGCTAATTTTTCAGTACCCCTCCCACACATTTCACAATAGCACAATGGGAGTTGTGTTCTTAAAGTTGCTGGAAAAACCTTTGATTGGCTCAATATCAACAGGGATGGAGAAAGCCTGAATATACAGAAGGTAAAAGAAAACCAATTAAATGGAATCTTATAAATAAACCACTTAGCAAAAATTAGGGGCGGAGCAAGCGGGCTCGAGCCTGGTTGGCTAGCTCGTGTTAGAGTTGAGCTAGCAACCACGGTTCGAATCCCCGTGTGCACAGCATTAAGCCATCTCATATGGCCAGGGTTTCCGACCCTATTAGTTTTTTTTTTTAAATTAGGGGCGGAGAACATAAAAGCTTACAGCATTGACGTTTGTTATAGAATACACTTTCTTTTCGCCCTCCACAAATCTTATCCAGCCCATCACCAAACTAGGATAATGAAGGGTATAGACATGTGCACACAGGTAAAAAATGAATAAAAATAAACAAATAGTTCTATGAATATAACATTGCAAGCCTAGTAAAAATTGTGCAAGTAACAGCAAAAGTGTAAAAGGAAAACCATATAGAATTTCCTAATTCCTATCGAGAATTTAGTGAACACTTCTTCTATATTGAAGTTTTTTTTGTATTCAGATAAATCAAAGACAACTCTTAATGAATTCAGACATGTTCCATGTCATAAAATATCTCAAATTTGTGAACTGACACTGGGAAGGACAACAGATTCATCGTGGCTTCATTTCTTCCCCCTCTTCATATGCATAAACCTAGACAACTAAGACTACATTGAAAGAACGGTATCCCAGGTTCCCAACCCCACTAGTTCATCAAACACATCCAGATCATCTTTCTTTATGTAATGGAGAGAAGCACAAGGGATGATTAAGGAACAAAAGGAAAACTAATTGGTTTAAGTTATAAAAAATGATGCGTCATAAAATAATAAAAGAATAAAAACCAAACATATCTTCAAAATTTCAACTCTATGGCAGAGTTCATACCCTTTCACTACAGGAACCTGCAGCGAGCCAAGGGAGCACAATATTCAGTCAGCTAAGGGCAATGAAATTAAGACATTATACATCATGTAATAGTCATGGTGCTGCATATTAGTGAAGGATCAAATATCATCGATGGCACAAGTCCTCTCTACAATACACAACGGAAGCTTCTGGAAAGACAGCAGACTAATGGCACCTACGGACCTACCACATTGAGATTGTGCCGACTGCACTTGAAGAGTATGCAGATATCGTTGATGGCACGGTCAACAACTGCTACTTCTGCAGTGAGCCAAGATACATGCAAATTCTAGTAATCACTTATAATGGAAAGAGGAGCAAACATTGCAGCTAGTGATCACAGACCTACGAAGATGGAGGGGTACATGTAGTAGATGTCCCTCTTGGAGCAGTGCTTGTTCTACTGCAGGAGCTGCTGCACCACGAGCAGCACCCTCAGGAGCACATCTACGCATGAACAACGCATCAGAAAGTAATTAGTGTGATCACATACACGTAAAGATTTAGATGTATTCATACTGAGGCGGGAGGTGTGGTAGTCCTTGTGGAGCAGGGAGAGGACGTCCGTGCCGACGGGGACGTCGTAGCTGCAGGCACTGCAATCACGCACGAGCGCGCGGCCAGGGATGTGACACATTTTGGTGAACATTGCTCGAGAGATGTTATGGTGAGGAAGGAGATGGTCTCGGGAGCGGGGCGGAAGCCAAACCATGGGAACGGGGACGCAGAGTCGGTGGAGGAGAAGTAGTTCCGGTACCGGTGGAGCACTATGGACGGCGAGCGGCCGGCGGTAACCTCTTCGACGACCCAGCGCACAAGCCCTGCGCCGTGCCCCAACCGCGCATCAGCTCCAGACGCTACAGGGGAGAGGGAAGTTTTAAGGGCAGGCGATCGAGGAGATGAGTAACAAAACCTTTGATCCTGCGGAGGAGGAGCGCCGCTTCCTCCTGCCTCCGCCGCAACTGCTGCTCGTCGCCTTCGAGCGGCGCCGCTCGCCGCCTCTTGTCCCTCCCCGCCATGGCGCTAGTCGATCGCGAAGGAACAGAGTTGGGCTTAGTGGGCTCCGTTCGACTGCTTGGGCCTTCAACGAAGCCACCTTTCAAGAGGCGTGACACAACAAGGTTACCTTAAATCCCCTAAAAAAACAAGATTACCTTAAATTTCGGTAACGCTCCTGTTGGGATGTCCGTCCGTCGGACGGGCACCTCGCGCCGTGCGCCTCCCGCTTTGCGTCCTGCACGTCACGACTCGCACTTTCTAAAAAAACCTCGCCTCGTATGGTCGTACCAGACCCTCACGACTCTCACTTTTCTAACGAAAAACTCGCCTCGTTGCGTCCGGCACGTCACGGCTCGCATTTTCCTAAACAAAAACTCGTCTCGTACGGTTACACCAGACCCGCCTTGGGACATGCATCCCGCCCATGCCTCAGCGCCATGCACGCCGCATCAACTAGCCTCCATTGGACGGCATCAAGTATATGTGTACATGTTACAACCGTATGTTTCATGCGCTTCAGATGCATGTTGCATATGTTTTATCTTAATGTTACAAAAAATGATCTTATGTTGTATATGTTGCAATACCTATACACGTATACTTTTTTTACCGAAGTCAGCAGGGGAAACCCTAACCTATATTTTTAACTTTCTTTTATTTTAAACATTTTTAATTCGCTCACATGGGGAGTCGAACCCAGACCTACTGGATGCTACTAAGGTGCTCTAACCACTAGGCTAGAGGCCCTTTCGCGCTATACACGTATGTTGCTAGTGTATTTTCCAAATGTTTTAATTGCAAATGTATGTTGCAAGTGTTTTTTATAGATATTGCACATGTTGCAGTGGTTATACATGTACGTTGCAAGTATATGTTTCAAATGTTTCACCTATTTCAGACCTATGTTACAAGTGTTTCATCTGGATGTTGCATATGTTGTAATGTTGCAGATGTTTCAGACACATGTTGCAAGCGCATCTATTCAAAATGTTTCGTCTGTTTCAGCCGTACATTGCAAATGTGTTTATCTGGATGTTGTAGTTGCTATACACATATGTTGTAAAAGTATGTTTGTAAATATTTCACTTGTTTTAGACGTATGTTGCAGAAGTGCTTTCATGTTGCAACATTAGCAGGCTTAGGAAGCGGACGTATGCAGATGCGGTACCTGTGGGCGTAGCGGTCCCCACCTGCATGTGCATCAGCACTTCAGCAGGCACGAGGCGGGCGCACTAGCATGCAGGTGCGGGTTTGCAGGCGCAACAATTGCATGCGAGACGTGCACGCGTAGAGTTGCATGTGGGCAGCAGTTACATGTGGGGCAGGCTTTTTTTTGGAAAAGGTGGGACAGGGCGCTAATCGTTTTGCTTAAACTTTGCTACAATACACATCTATAGATGCACTATAGATGTACATAGTTTAAAAATATTTTAGAACTCATAAGTATGTATTTCTAAAGGGTTTTCACGATTCGAACAGAGGGTTTGCAATATTTTCCTGTGTATGAATTGTACGTTTGCACTTCGTTTTTTGAGAGAACCACAATTGATAACTTTGTAGAGGGAGAGAGAGATTAAACTGCGCTGAATGCTGATGTAATTGAAAGAGGATTAATCCTGAGTTTATTAGGGACGTCCTTTGTCGACATATCAGTACTATATACGGAGTAGTTTTAAAGCTGTTGGACAGTTGCACCCCCACCTCGCGTTCATGTAGCTGTGTGTGATATTGATGTATTCTACTCTTTTATTTACTTATATTATAAAAAATAGCAGCGCACGTCAGCGGACAGCGGTTATCTTCTCCCCCACACTCATAAGTTAATTAAGAAAAGGTGACAACGCGAGTGATTATTAGAGCTAGAGGGGACAGAAACAGCCGAGCTGGGAGAGCAAGAACCGACGCTCCCGACTCAGCCAATCCAGCTTCGATTGATCCGACGTTCCCGAGTCAGCCAAAGGCCCAAGGTAACGAAGATCACTGAACGCCTCCAGTCTCTCAATATCTTTTCATTCTTGTTTGATTGATTGACAACTAATCAACCTCCTTTCTAAGCACGCCGGAGTACTTCCTCGGTATATCCGATCGATATCCGTAGACCGAAATGCTTCCCCTCCTATAGCTGTTGTTGATATATCATGAGCTTGATCCGTATAATATTTAATAAATCAAATAAAATTTTATAGTTCGTAACATTAAGTGTTGTATGGTTTAATATCGTATAAGATTTTGACTGAACGTTGACTTAACTTATTTGGTTGAAAATTATCCATCTTAATTGAAAAACTGAGAAAAGGACACATAAATGCCACACCTGCACGCACACCGCCGCCGTCGCCGGGCCGGGCCGTGGGCGTGGCAGTCGGGCGGGCGTGGCCAGGTTTTACCACTTATTCCACATAATTACGACCCTCCCCGCTGCAGGCATAAGTTAGATGTTCTCCGTCAATCCAATTTTTCCTTCGCTTTCGAGAAACCACATCTCAGTCGCTTTTTGGCTTTCCCCGTTCCGTACCTCTGCGCGCACGGAGTAACGAGAGAGCAGGTGCCTCTAAAACCCTCGTCCGCCTACGAACCTTGCACGGGGTGTGCGGCGATTAGATTTTTGAAGAACGATTCCGCGACTGCTCGTCTACATCGCAGACGTCTTTTTCCTGGTGATCGCTCGTGGAACAGCAATGTGTCTTCTTCTTGGTGACCGTTCATGGGACTACACTGCGAACACCTTCCTGCATCGACTGTGGTCCACGACTTCGAGCAACGCACTATGTCTGGTGCGAATGGAGCCTCCGATGTTCTCGGCATGGGACCCTCTGCTGGGTACACTATTAACTCTCTGATTACTTTACTTTATGTACTTACTGTATCGATCAGTATGTCATATTTGTATGCTGTAGCATTTGTTAGTGATATACAGATGCACATATATATTGTCACAAACCTGCTGATGTTTTATTTCTGAATTAAATTGACCATGAAAATGCCTAATTATCTAACAATAAAAAACCTAATGTTAGGTAATTTTCTGTTAGTAGTTTTGCTGCTGCTTTGAAGCTGAATAATTTTGATGGCAAGAATTTCATAATATGACGTGCCAAGATGGTGTTGTGGTTGACTGCTATGAACTACTATCACACCACACAGGGGAAGCCTGAATAATTTACTCCTGAGGAGGAACAAAAGTTCTTGGTTGCTGATAACCTGTTTCGAGGCGTCGTGATTAGTGCACTTCATAGTAAGTATGAGAAAAACTACATATCTTGCACATCAGGCAAAGAGTTATAGGATGCTCTTGAGGCAAAGTTTGGAGTTTCTGATGCTGGTAGTGAGTTGTATCTTATGGAGCAGTTGTATGACTATAAAATGGTTGAAAACCGTTCTGCAGTGGAACAGGCTCATGAGATACAGGCGCTAGCAAAGCAACTAGAACATTTTTTATGTCTGTTGCTCGACAAGCTTGTGGCCGGCGGTATAATCGCTAAGCTGCCACCTTCCTAGAGGAATTTTGCTACTTCTCTAAAACACAAGAGACAAGATTTTAGCGTGGCTGAGCTTATTGGATCTCTTGATGTTGAAGAGAGGGCGAGAGCAAAAGACAACCGTGGAAAAGGAGTTGAGTCTTCCGCTGCCAATATGGTGCAGAAAAAAAACTTATTTGCATCCCGTAATAAAAAGAAGAAGAACATGTAAGAAAACAACAATATAAAGCCTAAGCAAACTGCTCAGTTTAAGAAGAAAAACAATCAGAAAGGTGGAGGTTGCTTTGTTTGCGGGAGTGATGAGCATTGGGCAAGTGTGTGCCCAGACCGCAAATATAAGCAAGAAAAGAAATCAGCAAACGTAGTGATTAGCGAGACTGGAGTAGTAACATCTAGGTATGGTATTTCTTTACCTTTTGTTCTTTCAGTTCATCTTTTACCTGAGTGGTGGATAGATAGCGGTGCTAATATTCATGTGTGTGCTGATATTTCTTTATTTACTTTCTATCAAGCCGGCGGGACTAGAGCCTTGCTGATGGAAAACGGTTCGTATACGCGTGTTCTTGGTGTTGGTACGGTCGTTCTGAAGTTTACTTCGGGAAAGACGGTGCTATTAAAGAACGTGCAGCATGTTCCCTTTATCAAAAAAAATCTTGTTAGCGGTTCTCAAATGTGTCGCGATGGCTTTAAAATTGTGCTTGATTCCAATAAATGTGCTGTGTCGAGACATAAAATATTTGTTGGAAAAGGTTATGATCGCGGAGGCTTGTTCCGCTTATCTTTGGTTGATGATGTGTGTAATAAAGTAGTGAACAATGTTAATGTTTCGGATGAGTCGAATATATGGCATTCACGACTTTGTCACATTAATTTTGGCTGTCTCACGCGGCTTTCAAATCTGAATTTAATTCCAAAATTTAATTTAGTCAAAGATTCTAAGTGTTAGGTGTGTGTTCAATCGAAGCAACCGCACAAGCCTCACAAGACTGCTGAGGCGAGGAACTTGGCACCATTAGAACTCGTTCATTCTGATTTATGCGAAATGAATGGAGAATTGACTAAAGGTAGTAAACGATACTTCATGACATTTATAGATGATTGTACTAGATTTTGCTACGTGTATTTATTAAAAACTAAAGATTAAGCGTTGCATTATTTTAAAGTCTATAAAGCTGAGGTAGAAAATCAACTTGAGAAAAAAATCAAACGTTTGCGGTCTGATCGCGGGGGAGAATATTTCTTAAATGAATTTTTTGAGTTTTGCACGGTGCATGAAATTATTCATGAGAGGATGCCACCATTCTCACCACAGTCCAATGAGATTGCAGAGAGAAAGAACCGCACTCTAACTGATTTGGTTAATGCCATGTTAGAGACTGTGGGACTATCTAAGAAATGGCGGAGTGAGGCTATATTGACAGTGTGCCATGTCCTGAATAGCGTGCCCACAAAGAACAAAGAAATTACACCATTCGAGAAATGGGAGAAGAAGAGATTAAATCTCTCTTACATGCGAACTTGGGGTTGTTTGGCAAAAGTGA